TTAAAGCCTTCTCGCGGGTGAGAGAGTGCTCAGTGTCCTGATGGGAGCTGGACTTTGTGGCCACTTAGCTTTCAAGAGGGGCTAGGAAGCCTGCAAAGAAAGTTCTAGTTTGGGAGGCTCAGCCTGGTGACTAGGTGTGACTGCTTACTTCTGATTCCCGACTGCTTTCCGATTGTCTGTAAGTAGTTTCTGCTTTTGGTGTCATCTCGACCTGTGAGCGTGCGAGAGAAGTGTGGTGAGGTCTGGCCAGTACTTATGCAGGGGACCTTCAGAGAGCTTCCAGGTGTGCCTGCAATCATTAAAAATCCCATGGCTGCTCTGGTATGGGAAACTTAGTAGCTAGTTTTCAATTAATCCTGGGCTCACCTGAATTTAGGGTTGTTCTGGGCATAACTCCACAGTTTGATGTAGTACAGCTACATAGGGCAGAGCATCGCTGTACGTACCCACCATGGAGGCAGCTGCCTTCTCCAGAGCGGAGTACGGGTCCTTTGCACATGGGAATGCTGTTTGATGTTTGCTCTGTTTATATGCAGAGCCGTGTTTATTTTCATGGGCTTGGTGATGGATGCTGGCAAACTCGCTCGCAGGCAGGACGGAAAGAAAAGGGTCATTCTTTGCTCCTCAGCTATTTCTACACTGTCCCCTCAAGGGAAACTGCTTGGTCAGGGCTTCTCTTTCTTCTCCTGAACAAATGTCATCTTGGGATTTGCTGCTAATCTTGGTGACAGGGTGTGAAATTCCACAGCCCTCTGTGTGCAGAGAAAACAGAGCCCAGAGGTCCCTGGCTGAGGGCTGGTGCTGTGGGTGCCGGGAGGGTTGCTACAATCCCCACTTGTCTTGTGGTGGCCAAAGGGGCCTCTTATGACAGCAGAGAATAAAGTAGCTTGGTTCACTGCTCGCTCTGCGGGGAGGCTCTGGCTCGCGAGCCACGTCGGGTATTGCGATCTAGGCACGGCTGTGAGAAACTGCTGTCACCTGTCACGAGCTTGTGCAAACTCAAGTGATTTCTTCAGTGCGGCATGCTTTGCTTTCTCTGCTTGTGTGATGTCCAAAAGTCACCGCTCAGCTAGCGACGGGCATGAGCATCCCTGAGGGCAGGCGGCAGACACACCTCCGGGTCACTCAGACGAAGTACATCCCTTTGTGAGACCCCTTGCTCTGCAAAGCCCCACGTGTGGCTGCGGGATGTCCCCGGGCGTGTGGCTTCTGGTGTGACGCAGCAGCAGCGAAAGGCTGGGGGAGCTGCCGTCGCTGGTTGCAGCCCTGGCACAGGCAGGGGAGAGGCAGGCAGTGCTGCATGGCTGGTTTGCTGCCTGCTACCGCAGAGGGGCCGGGGGGTTGCTCAGGGCCGTGGAGAACAAGCCATGAGATGGGTCTTGGGTCAGCTGGAAGGAGGTGGGTAACAGGAATAAACTGGGTTCGGGGTTTTGGAGCCAAGCGCCAGAGCCAGGTTCGGGGTTTTGGAGCCAGGTGCCTCTTTGGCTGCACATCCCGCTGCCGTGGGGTGAGGGGGTGTTTCTCCTGCCCCAGCTCCAGGGTGCTGGTACATGGGTGCCATCTCTGCTCCTGGCACTGCAGAGGGCTGGGTGCTGGGAGACGTGGCTACCTACTCCCCCCTTTGCAGGGGCAGGGGGAATTTCTCAGCTCCGTGTTTCAGGAGCTGAGCCCCCGCTGCCCATGTGGCGTCGGGGCTCTCCCGGTTGTGTTTCCTGGTGGTCGTGCCCCGACCCCCTGCAGCCGGTGCTGGCTCCTGGCTGCATGCTCTGCCCTCCGTCCTCTTCGGCCGCAGTTTGCGATCTGGTGTGCTGAGTGAGACCGCGACTGGTGCTGCCACCTCTGCTGGCGTCTTGTGCCAGGACCTTCTGGCCACCGCAGTGGGAGGAGGCGGCTGTTCCTGGGTTTCATGCCCGGGGCCCATGTCAGCCTCTGCAGCGTGGGGGGCTCTGCCTTGGCAGAAGCGGGGAGCTGAAAGGTTGATGTCACCCTGGCTGACGCCACTTTCCTCTTTGGCATCATCTGTTCCCTCTGCCTCTGGCCCAGGAGGGGCGATGGGGCAGAGCACGCGATGGGGCAGCCACCCGAGGACCGCGATGGATGGGGGACAGCGGGGGTCTTGCCAGCTGCCTGGGAGGTGGTCTGCCCTCTGCACGCCCCGCTCCGTCCCGCTGGCGTGGCCGTGAGAGGCTGTTCCCATCCGCGCTGTGACTTGTTTTCTCTCCGCTCCTATTTTAAGAGCCCGTTCCCAGCCCCGCCACTCTCACGTGGCCTCACTGGGTTTGTTTCCATGCATCTATTAAAAGACAATGCCCAGATGGGAGCACTCGTAGGAGGGCTGGGCTGGGCGGCGGGCCGGCTAATTCAGGCCTGGTAACCCTGTGTGGCCGGCTGGCAGCCTGGAAACATCCTGTTTTGGTTTCTAAAAACTCTCCAGGCAGCGCTTAGCTCATCTGTGCTGAGGAGGGCAGGGACCAGATCTGTCCCGTGCCCCGGGGGCCGCTCCCGGCAGGGCT